TTTTGAAACCAATTATGCTTTCTGAATATTATTTTCATGATGATGGTATGATGATGTCATATTAAGTATTTAACCTCATGTATTTCCTGGTTGGGCTCAGAAAGCAGTCAGTTTTGATAGGTCATTTGGCCTGTTTTCCGTGTTCGACTGCAATTAAATACAAGATCTTCCTCCTCATTTTGACTTCAATCTCCTATTGTTGGGTGATAGTGAGATATTGAAAAAATGGTATTTAGCAGAGATAATATAGCCCAGCAGAGCCTGAGTAAAATAATTCAGACTGAGAGTCCATGTGTGATTAAAATATAAAGTTTTTACTAAATTCTAGCATGGGGAAAGGGTAACTGGGATGAAAATATCAACTGTGCTAAACGGCTACATCCTTACACTACAAAGACAAAACTAGAAGAGCGTTATGGCTTCTCTCTCCTCTTCTTCTTCAGAACAGCAAAAGAAAGACGGGAAGAGGAGCCATAAAATGCAAAAACACTTTGACACTTTCGTCCCAATCAAACTCCTAGATCAGGGAGAAAATTCCCGGGGCTTCTTACATCTAAAGAACATTGGTTACATGAGAAACATGTGACTTCCTGTGAGTAACATAAACAAACATTTAACCCCAGATATACTGAGTGTTTTCAACTTGTAATACCCAACACCTATTTTTGACTGGATATTAATGTGTATAACACAGGTGAAGGTAGACAGTTTCCCACCAACAATGCCATCTACGCTGATTTGTTTGCTCCATCTGAACTTAATAGAATGGACCTCAAAAATGGAGATGACATTGAGAAGTCAGCTAGAGAATGTTTGTATCCAAGGACCCTTATTCAACAAAAGCAGCGGCAAAAGCTCAAAAGGGAGGTGCTGGTGTGAAACGGCTATACTGGAATCTACCAGGAAGTCTGGTTCTATTTGTTTTCAGCTTAATCGAGACAAGGGATTCCTCTCCTGCTACAATTAACACAGTAAAGGTAGGATGATCAACGTGTCATAGACTGGATCAGATCAGTGGTTCATTGAGTCCAGAGAACCAGCGTGGTGTAGAGGTGAAAGGCAGCAGACTCTAATCTGGAGAACCCACTCCGCCACATCTGACAGCAATGCTGGCTCTGTGTACTTAGGCAGATCATGAGAAGGGAGGACAGGAAGGGTTGCATCAGTGATTTGTTCTTGTGGCCCTTTCTTACATGCCCAGGGAAATGCTGATTGCCACTTTGGAGCCAGGAAGCAATTTTTCTCCAGGTCAGTTTGGCCAGGGATCCTGAAGGGTTTTGGCTTTTTTTTTTTTTTTTGCCATCTTCTGGGCATGGGGCAAGGGTCACTGGGAGTGAGGGGGGAGGTATTTGTGAATTTCCTGCATTGTGCAGAGGGTTGGACTTGATGACCCTGGAGGTCCCTTCCAGCTCTAGGATTCTCTGAAGCCTGCTGGGTGACCTGGGGCCAGTCACAGCTCTCTCAGAACTCTCTCAGCCCCACCCACCTCAGAAGGTGCCTGTTGTGGGGACAGGGACGAAAGGTGATTGTAAGCCACTCTGAGACTCCTTAGGGTAGAGAAAAGCAGGGTATAAAAACCAACTCTTCTTCGTCTTCATCTGTTCGACACAGTGGCCTACCAGTTGCCCTGCAGGGCCAAACAAATAGGATACAAAGGCTGAGGCCTTCCCCTGTCATTACCTATCCTAGCACTAGGTTTCAGAGGTTTCCCGCCTCTGTAGATGGAGGCTCTTCCATGAATCTAACTCCCTTTTAAAACCATCCATGCTCTTGGCCATCACTACCCTCCACTGCCAGTGATGGTACATGTTAAATTTCTTTTGGCCCCTTCACTCACCATTCCCCTCCCAGTACTTGTGTATTTGCCAACAGAAAACACTTCATGCATTTGATAAAGGTTCGTGAATGTTTACAGGCAGCCACACCCACCTTTTGCTTCTTATTCTGTTTACCTTGTTTGTTGTCAAAACCCAGGGCTTTTTTTGTAGCAGGAACTCCTTTGCATGTTAGGCCACACACCCCTAATTGTAGCCAATCCTAATGAGTTTCTGCTGTTGGGTGTGGCCTATTATGCGAATGAGTTCCTGCTGGGCGTGGCCAACTTGGGAGCCAGCCGGAACTCCGTTCCTGTGCGTTCCTGCCCAAAAATAGCCCTGCTTACAGGCCACAATCGGTTCACCCTTGTGCCCCATGACTTCTGGTTGGTTTTTGCTCCACCAGATGAACACAGCCACACGGGGGGGATGGCCCTTTTGTAGCCAGGCTCCTTACGGGAGCCCTTTTTCTTGGGGGGAACCCCCCCCCCCCCGGAAAGAAAGCTATCCCATTCCATTACTTTCACATTCTGAATACATGCCACTTCTTTATGTCCTCCCCTTTATAACTGTGTCATGTCCTGGGTGACCAATGAAGACCAAAATAAAGCAGGAGTCCAGCAGCACCGTATAGACTAATGAAATTTACTCCCAGGGCAAGTTTTGGGAGTCAAAACAGATTTCATCTGATGGCTGGAGTGTACATCCCAAGGAGACATATTTATACTTCAGCTTACAAGCAACGCAAATGTGGGTGTGGGGAGACGTTACAAAGGGGTCCTAGGCCGGTTAGCAATAATAAGCAGTCACAGGGAATTCAGTCCATTCATAAAAACCAAAGGTACTTTATAATTCATGTAGTAACTGCAGCTAGAATCTTATTCGCAACTTATTGGAAACTTCCTTTAACATCTACTGAACATGACCTAATAGTGAAGATTATGGAAAGTGCAGAAATGGACAAGCTGAGCAAATGGAAGAAGATTTTGTTGGACTATGGACTCCATTCTATAATTGGATGAGAGAGATATATAAATACATGAACTTTCTAATATTATAACATCAAGAAGTTTTCATGAACTTTTGGCTCTCACAGACTATCTGTGTATAATATGAAATGATCAGTAGAGGAAAGTTACATGCAGAAATCAGTAAATATGTTTCTTCTCTCTCCCCTTGTATATTTTAAAAAAGGAATTCATTCAGAGTGAGAAAGACACATGTAGATGAGAAGAGAAGGATAAATATAGCATCAGCTGTAATCAAGGAAGGTGCATGGTATACTGGTGAGTCAGCCTAGGATCTGGGAGAGCCAGGTTCGAATCCCTGCTCTGCCATGGAAGCTTGCTGAGCGACCTTTGGCCGGTTAACACACCCTTAACCTAACTTACAGGACTGTTGTGTGGGCAAAATGGGGAAGGGGAGAATGTCGTAAGCCACCACAGGCCCCTAATGGGGTGAAAAGTGAGGTGTAAATGAGATGATAAATAAAGACACCACAACGAGAGAATTACTTAACATCTGGGAGAAACCAAAAGACCCCTTAGTGACCCAGCACCAGCTTCCAGGCACAAACCCGGGTGCTTTTTTAGTTGCTGTAGATTTTGCGGGTTGTGTGGCCGCGGTCTTGGCATAGTAGAACCTGACGTTCCGCCAGTAGCTGTGACTGGCACCCTCAGAGGTATAACACAGAAAGATGGAGTACTCTCTGTGTCAAAGTGACACCTTTTTCCTTCTCACCTTGACACAGAGAGTACTCCCATCTTTCTGTGGTTATACCACTGAGGATGCCAGTCATAGCTATTGGCGGAACGTCAGGTTCTGCAGTGCCAAGACCACAGCCACACAACCTGCAAAATCTACAGCAACTAATGAACTCCGGCTGTGAAAGCCTTCGATAACATACTGGGTGCTTTTTGCGCACAAGGGACATACCCTCAGTGTCCCGTGTCCCATTTAATCAGCCAACCAGACAAGAGGTGCCACCTAGTTTGAACACCTGTATGGGTCACCCCTTCTAGCAGACTAGGGAGGCCATAATCCGCCAGCTAAGCTTCTGCTCTCTGGTCATCGAGGGTCTGGCAGGTCT